AACTATGACAGGAACCCAGAAGGAAGCAGGGGTAGTTTATCTTATTTGCAGAGAAAGTGGAGTTCAAGCTAAGGCTGAAGAAGAAAGATGAAGAAGGTCAGTACCTTCTTGCAAAGGGCACAACCCAAGAGGGAGAGACAACAATCATAAATGTATATGCACCAAATATCTGGGCACACCAGATGCATGTTTATGGGCCTGAAAAATCAAATAAGCACAGCACAGTTCTAATGGGGGACTTAGTGCCCCCGTCACAAACAGATCAACTAGACAAAAAAAAAAACAAAACAAAAAACAAAAAACAAAAAACAAAAAAACAACCGAGATTCTGTTTCACTGGAGAAAGAATAGCGATCCTGGAGAAACCAAGGAGCAAAGGCTGGTGAGGCTGTGGGGGACAAGGCCACCGCCTGGGCTACTTTTTCTCACTGAACAGGCAAAAATACCCGAAGCCTGGAGGTGACAGAGGAAAGGCTGGTGGCAGCTCACCGTCTGCAGGGCTTCATTCACAGCCGGCTGGCTCCAGGGCGGGCCGGGGGCAGGGGGAAGGGGGAGGAGAAACTTCTGGGCAGGCGGAGAGCAGTGAAGAGGAAAATGGCCAGCAGCACCAGCAGCAGCAGCTGTAACCCGTGCCGTTGGCCCACTTCCCGCCCTTTGAATGTTCCCCAGCCTGCTTCTCCTTGCGGCGGGCAGCACCCTCTCCACAGCTGCGCAGCCGACCGGCAGGACCTCTCAGTCACCACACACCCTGACCCAGCACCCCGCCTCCGAGAAGCCGCCACTAGGACCACATGAGGCTTTGGGGTGACATGAGACCCAGCCAGACTCAGTAAAACCACTACAGAAGTCAGTATGAGGTTCCTCGAAATACTAAACACCGAAATTCTACAGCTCTTCTTCTTGTAAGCATCTTCCTGACTGCCGGGCAGTATGTGACTGAACACGTCTTCCTGGGCTGGGGGTGCAGCTGACTGGTGCAGTGCCTGCCTGGCAAGCGCGAGTCCTGAGTTCGAGTCCCGGTACCAAAAAAAATCTTCCTATCAGTTCCAAGCTCACGTTATCCTTAAGCCCCAGCAGTGAACGAGGGGACCCCCAGACAGGCACCCAGGCACACGGGAAATTAAGGCCACAAAAGACCCCCGGGTCCCCCACCTCTCCCAAGGCAAAATGGGCCAGTGATGGAGAGGAATGCAAAGCCCACTCCAGGAGCTCTGCAAACTGATGAAAACAGAGGTGAAGAGACTCGGTGAGGTCAGAGAGGACGGCCCAGAGCTGATGGATATGTTTTTGGTACCTGGAATGGAATTTACAACCTTACACTTGCCAGGCAGGCTCTTAGGCCATGGAGCTAAATCCCAGGCCCAAAGTGATGGAATTACACCCAAACCCCCCTGGGGGTGTGGGGAAGCCCTGACAAGGCGGGAGAGCTGAGCAGAACGTTTCCAAATGACAGGAAGTTAAATTGAAATAGTTGGTATTAGAAAAGCAGACCCCGCAACCTGTGAGGATAACCGTGTGGAGACAGAGTTCCTGACACGTTCCTGACAACGTCTCACCCAGGGGAGCCTCAGAAAAGACCAGAGAACAAGAAGACTTCTCCACGCAGCTGCGAGACAACCCCGGGGAGCTGGCCCGAGGCTAACTGGAATCTCTTTACAGAAATCATAGTAGAAACTTCCCCAGGAGAGAACAGCTTTCAGAGCAGAAGTCATCAAGCCACAAGGACTGTGACAGAGAAGCAGCTTGCACAACCCTCCCCTGCGGTGAGCTGCTGGATCAAACATCACATCCGCCCCCTTAGCAAGTGGGGGCCAGGGATCTGCACACCCCGAGGAGGCTGAGCACAGCCAGTGTGGCAGGCGGGGGGCGTCTCCCGCTTCCATCTCTCTGAAGGCAAACTCTGTCTTGCTTTGTTCTAATTAATGGTATTATTTTAGCCTGTTTTGTTTTGTTGAACTTCAATATACATCAAAGCATGGACAGCTATCTTGAAGAGAATGAGAGACTCTATGACAGCCATTAGTGACTGCCCCATTGTCTGGTTCTGAAGACCTAAAACGCCTTCCTCATTCTGTTCGAATCAGTTTTATACTCTGTTGTTTTGTATGAATTCTCTGTATGCGAAGACATGGACAACTATTTGGAAGAAAACAAGAGACAATATGATAGCAAAGATCTCAGGTCATCTAGCTTTGAAATTTATATCTCTTACATTGCTTTCTCATGTCCTATTTTGTTCTGTTTAATTTTACCCCCTTAAAAAAAAAAACAGTTTCCAAAGATACAGTGTTATTAAAATGACAGCAGTCCAACAAAGAAACTATTTTAAAAGCAACCAGAAGCAAACAAACAAACAAATCATATACGCAAACACTTCATGAGAATTACAACGGGCTTCTCAAAATGGGCTCTGAAGCCCAAAATAGTTTAAAGTATTTCAAGACCTGAGCGCAAATGATTTCCAATGCAGATTAACATGTCCTGCAAAACTTTCCATCAAAGTAAATGGAGAAGCCAGCTGTGGTAGGTAGGGTGAGCCTGCAAGCCCAGCACTCGGGAGGCTGAGGCAGGAGGATCACTGCAAGTTCGAGACCAGCCTGGGCTACAAAGTGAGCTCAAGGCCAGCCTGAACTGCATGACGAGACCCCGTCTCAAAGAGAACTTGGCTGTTCTCACCATCAGCTAGGGTCCCTGCTGTGACTGAGGATGACTGCGGTTCACTTTGGGGGGTTCACTTGGGGGCGCTGTGGTCCCTACTTTGAGCCCTGCATCCTGGCTGTAGCAGGGACCCTGAGCCTGCCGGCCCAGCTCCTTAGCCCGCTGGTGCAGACTTCCCAGCTTCCTCCGCTGACCTGGGGGCCTCCCCAGAGCGGATCCTTGACGCAGACCTGCCCAGGGCATTGTCGTGGGCTTCAGGTCAGCAGCTGGACCCGTGCGGGCCTTGCTGTGGGATCTGGGACCCCAGCTGGATTCTCTGGGTCTCCAGTGTGTGGACAGATGTCTGCATTTGGCTTTTTGGGTATTACAAAATAATCTTACAGGTTATGTGTCCCGCATTACATCTATTCCCTGAGCACAACACACCCGTATGCTCCAGCTCTCCAGTGAAACTGAAAGGGGCAGTGGGCTCCCAAACTCACTTCGGGTTCCCAGACCAGACCGTGGTTCAACTGAAAAAGAAAATCACCGCCCAGCTCGGTCTCCCTCATGGAGGCAGCTGCAGAAACCCACGATGTGATGTTAGCCATCAGAACAGGGTCACACAGCACGGTCAGGGTCAGGGAGGGTTCACCCCAGGGCTGCGAGGATGTAAAGGTGGCATGTCACACAGAGGACGACTAAAGCCACACGGCCACCTGAGGAAGGTATAGGAGGGCCAGACCTGGGCTAGGTGTGGCGGCTCACGCCTGCAATCCCAGCACTCAGGAGGCTGAGGCGGGAGGGTCCGCGGGAGTGCGAGGCCAGCCTGGGCTGCATAGCGAGATGTGGTCTCCAAACAAAGAAATACGCACACGCACACACACACACACACACACACACACACACACACACACACACATAGAGAGGGAGGGAGAGAACCTGATGTACCCGAATCTGAAGGGAGCTATTTATGACAAACTAATGGCCAACATCATACTAAATGGGAAGAAACAGAAAGCTTTCCTGCTAAAATCAGGAACAAAATCAGGATGTACATAACCGCCTCATGTATTCCAGACAGTACCCAAAGCATTATCCAGAGCGGTCGGGCAAGAGAAAAGGCGTCTAAAGGAAAGGCAGAACTCAGCATCCTTATTTGTAGATGGCAGGATAGTCTACCCAGAAATTTATTTAATTTTTTAATTTTTAATTTTTTGGTGCTGGGATTGAACTCACATCCTCGTGTTTGCCAAGCAGGCACTTACACTGCTGAGCTCTACCCAGAAATTTAAAAGACTTCTATTAAAGAATTCTTAGGTAGGGGCTGGGGATTTAGCTCAGCGGTATAAGCACCTGCCTTGCAAGCAGGCAGTCGTGAGTTCGATCCCTGGTACCGATAAAAAGGAAAAAGACAAAAAAAAAAAAAAAAAAGAAAAAAAGAATTGTTAGGTGACTGACTGGTTTCAGTAATGTAGCCAGATACAGACATCAGCATGTAAAAAATAAGTGTTTCCCTACATGAGGGATAAACAGAGCAAAGCAGGCGGTATTACAGTCACAGGCTTCAGGTTAGTTACAGAGTTACAGGGAAACAAACGGCGTGGACCTGGCACACACACACACACACACACACGGCGTGTGGACCAGTGGGACAGAACGGAGGACACCAGACACGGTCCGCGACGTGGTCTGCAACAGGGGCGGACACTTAGGAAAGCTGCTTGTTTAGCAAACAGCCCCGGGACGGCGTCTGCCTGCAGGACACTGAGGCTGAACCCCGGCTCACACTGTGTTCTAAACAAAAGTAAAATGAATCAAAGATCGAAACAGTAACAGAAACGCTCAACTTACCGGAGGGCAAAACAGTGACAGCCCTGAGGCACCGGTTAGGAAAGGTTTTCTGGGGGCTTCCAGGGATGGAACTCACAAGCTTACACTTGCCAGGCAGGTGCTTATGCCACCGAGCTAAATCCCTGCCAGGAGAGACATTCTGAGCGGAGCTCCACTGCACAAGAAATACCAGGGGGAATCAGTAAATGGGAGCCATCACCCACAGGAGCGGGAAACCATTTTGCCAGCTGTCCCTCAGCGGAGGACTGATATGTAAAATACACAAAGAACTTTAAAAAAATTAGACAACCCCAAATAAAAGCCCCAATCAGGAGACACACAGGCCAAGTGAACAGACACTTCTCAGAAAGAGAGGGCCCGCGGGAGGCCGGCTCGGTGGCACACACCCCTGGAACACCAGCGCTCAGGAGGCTGAGGCAGGACGGTCCCTGTGAGTTTGAGGCCAGGCTTTGGGGAAACCTCGGCTCACAAAACCAAAACCAACCAATCAGACACGGAGAACACCAGGCTTGCACGTGTGGTTTATTCCCTGAGAACTCGTGCCCAGCGCCCCCAGTCTCCGCAGTGCCTGCGGGCTTTGGGGAACGGGTCACTGCTTAGTCAGACTCCGGGTCTGCGTGGGGTGGGGCTGTGGAGACGCCCGGCCCAGGGCTTCCCTGGTGTCCTCAGGACACAGGTATGGGACAGCCCCGTGCCCCTCCCTCCTCGGTCCCCAGTGGAGCCCTTTACCCTGTGTGCAGGGACGGGTGTGAGACCCCGTCCTCGTCACCCGAGACTCGGTGCCCCTCTCTCCTGGCTCCAAAATACTCCCTTCAGCCTTCCGCGAACCCTGGAGTCTTGGCTGGCCTTGAACTCCAGCATTGACTCTGCCTGGCTTTCCGGGAGTAGCTTGGGGTCTCGGCTCAGCCCTGGGAGGTGATGCTGTCCTCCACGGGGTCCCTAGCAGAGGTGCTGCTTGTCATTCCGCACCTCAGCAAGGTGCTGGTGCCATTTTCTGAGGTTCCCATGCCCTAGAGTCTAGGGAGCACAGTGTGAGCAGTATCAAGTGGGTTTTGAAGGATGCGTAGGAGTTGATTAGTGTGGTCTTGCACATCCAACTCTCTCTGGCCCACCTTCGGCTCAGCTTATCTAGGAAGGCCGAGGTCTCGGCTTCCCGGGAGGAAGGTGTTGTCCTTTGAGCCGGGGCTGCCTCAGTAGACCCGAGTCTGGCGCCCGCAGGCCAGGTCGGGCTTGTGGAGCGCCTCCCACATGAGCAGCATCTCGTAGGGCAGGAAGCGATGCACCAGCAGCAGCTCGCGGTAGTAGCAGGGGTCGAAGGAGGACAGGCGGTCGGAGGGCGCCTGCAGGCCGGCCGTGCGCACCCCGCTGTGCGAGGCAGGGCGCAGGCCCTGGTGGCGCAGGCACTGGCCCAGGAAGACGTCGTCGATGGGCAGCAGGTCCAGCACGGAGGCCGCGCGCTGCAGGGCGTGGGCCGTGAAGCGGGACAGCAGGAAGCCGCCTCCGCCGCAGTAGGGCGGGTAGTGTTCTGCCGCCATCACCAGGCGCGGCACGAAGTACTTGCTCCAGGGCGAGCGGATGGGGCCCACACCCTGGATCAGGTGGCCCACGAACAGGTGGCGCTCGGGGTTGTGGTCGCGCAGGAAGGTGACCATGTTGTCCGTGTGCGCGAAGACGTCGTCGTCGCCGTTGAGCAGGAAGCTGGCGTTGGGGCAGCGGGCCTTCAGCCACTCCAGGAACAGCACCTGAGAGGGGAGCAGGGGCCTTGCGATGCGGCGCGGACACCTCCGGGGTCTCCTACGCACCCTTCAAAACCCCAGCCTCTCTGTGCTTACCAACCCCGCTCACGTTTAATTTAGCGATGGGGTCTTGCTAGTCATTGGGCTTGAATATGGGATCCTCCTGCCTCAGCCTCCCAGAGCGGGTCCTTATTAAGCACCTCTTAGTCTAGTAGCCGGGCCAGACCTCAGCCCCAGGAGCGACAGAGCCACAAAGGCAAATAACCCACACCTGCCTCATGGCTAGGCGGGCCGAGTGCCCAGGGCCTACACGGGTGCCTCAAACACCGTGGGACCAACAGAGGCAGGAGGGTCTTGGCTTTATGCTGTTTCCCGGGGGAGGGAACCGAGGCACAGGGAGGTAAGTGATCTTCCTATGCTGGTCATCTCGGCCCCTCTGCCCTTCCTCCCAGCCTCACCTAGAGTAAGAGCCATCCCCAAGGCCACCGAGGACTGGAGGTGTGAGTAGAGAGACCCATGGGTAGCTCTGGTCCCCCTGTCTCACCTGTGTGGTGCCTTTATGAATAAAATTCTATAGTTTCCCCTGGTAAACTCCTATGCATCCTTCAAACCCCCAGCTCTCACGACCTCTTCCTCGAAGCTCCCTCGTGCTCTCATCCTGCGTACCTGCTTCAGAGTCAGGTTGAAGAAGGAGTCGTGGAAGTCCCACTGCAGGATGTCCCCGTGCTCCCTGGCCTCCAGCGCCAGCAGCCGGTTGACCTTGGCGGCCTCGTGCGGGTGGGCGGCGGTGCCCACCAGGAACAGGCGCCGCAGCGCCAGGCCCTGCACCTGCCGCTCTTGGCCCCACGTGCGCCGCACGACGTCCCTGCGCTCGTAGTTGGCGGGCGAGGACTTGATGGCGAGCAGCAGGAACACGCGCGACGCGCACTTGGCGGCGGGCGCGTCCTGCAGCGTGGGGAAGTCGCGGCAGTGCCGGTAGAGCAGGAAGTCACGCACGTGCGTGGGCTGCGCCGCGAAGTCCGGGTGCGCGGCCAGCGAGGTGTTGGGGAGACACGGGGCGGGCCGGGGGCGCGCGGGGGGCTGAGCCGGGGTCTTGGGGGCCTGCGTGGTCTCGGGCGCGTCCCGCGGGCTCCTGGTCTGCAGGGAGGACATGGGCCTGGCGTGCAGGCTGAGCAGCACGAGCGTGGTGACGGCGCCCAGCGCCAGCAGCAGGCTCCAGCCAGAGCGCAGCGCCCGCGGCCGGCGCATGCTGGCGGCCGGATCCCTCAAGCGCGCCTGCGGGGAAGGAGAGGCCGGCCGCACATGCACGGCTGCCCAGGTCGGCAAAGACTGAAACTCACCCTGGACCCGTGCCCGGCCCATCCCTTTACGAGATCCCCTCCTGTACCCCGACCCAGGTGGGCGTCTTGCATTTTGGGGGTGCTGAGGGGAGGAACCCAGGGCCAGTCACCTTCCTGGCAAGTGGGCACCACTGAGTCGCACCCCCCCAGCCCATGAAATTAAAATTTCATTTTGACCAACACTTCATTTTAGAGGAAACACTAAAGAACACAGACTGCAAAACCCTCCTGCTTTGGTGTCCCGACCTCTCCACCTGTCCCTGCCTCAGAATCCGCCCTGCGCCCTCCCTTCGGGAGGTGAGGACTCCTCTTATCACGGTACAGGGGCTGGGTCCTTCCTGTTTCCCTTTTCACCCACCCCACCAGGGAGCTTGGGGCTTTGATCACAACTCTTACTGGCTCTTCCTGTTTCTAGTGGATCTTTAGTGGCCTCGGCTCGCATTAGATCCTCAAGCCCAGCCTGTGTTACAGGGGAAGCTGTCTTCCTTGGCAGGCTCCTACTCATTCCTCAAAACCCGTCTCTAGGGATCCATTTTCCGGGAAGCCCTCACTGATCCAGCAGCAAGGGTTCGGTTCGCTGTTGTTCAGCCCTGGTGCTGAGGCGATGGAGGTATCTGTCTGGCTTTGTCTTTCCCAGAAAGGGGGCGCCTTAGGGCCTCTGGCAGTTCCCAGCATGAGGCACAGCACAGAGGAATTGGGGAGTGTTGACTAAAATGTCATGTAAAACTGAGTTCATTCAGTTCCTCCCTGGTAAACTCTTATGCATCCTTCAAGATCCCAGCTCTTATGAACCTTACTCTTACAAGCTTTCCTGTCCCACATCTAAGCTGAGCTCTTGGTCTCCTTTCCAAATCTCTTTCTCAGGCTTCTCTCAACCCCATCACAGGCTCACAAAGGTGTGAGGGGCTTCCAGCAGCCCACACCAGTGGAATTCAGTGAGTGTTTGTTGAGTGAATATGAAAACTGTACCACTTACCTCAAACAGTCTTGGGATTCAAGTGCCGGGCTGGAGTTTCCTCAGTCTTCCCAACAGCACCTGCAACATGTGCAGGAGTCAGTGAGTTCTAAAACTGGCCTCGGATGCTACCTCCTGAGTCCTGCCATGTGATTTTGGGAGACATGCTCAGACTCCCTGAGCCTTGATGGGCCAGAGGGAGTGCCAACCTCATGTAGAAATGTGGCGGATGGACAATATGTAATTACCAACTGGTGATTTCTTACTGTTTATTTTTTTGAAATTATTTATTATTTCTACCCTTTTTCTGTTTTTTTTTTTCTTTAAATAAATAAAAGAAAGAAATGCACCAATGACTTTGCCCTCTGGTATTCGTCAGGAGCCGTCCTCCTGCTGAGACACCGTACCCTGCACCCACAGTTAAAGGAGGAGGGCTAAGTGTGGCTCATGGGTTCAGGGGAGTCGGTCCATGGTGGGCCCCAAGGCAGGAACATGAGGCGGAACATGAGGTGCAAATCCACGCAGCTCACGGTGGACGGACAACAGGGAATGACGCCAGAGAGGAAGGAGTTAAAGCCAGAGAGAGTCCCCAGGGTCACCACCTGGACACACCTGGGGAAGCACTTGACTAATTCTCCAGGTATTTCATCAGCCATGAGCCAGACGGAAATAAGGCCAAAGTTATCCTGGATCCTGTTCTCAGCAACACCCGAACTTGTCCTTCAAGCATATTTACATACCAGCAACTCCCTACCCTGCCCAACACGGCATGACTCTCCCGCATACGACGGCAAACACATTTCCTTTCCCCCAAAGTCTCAAGAGCCCCAATCGCTAAAACATCCAAGTCCAAGTCTCCTCTGAGACACAAGGCAAACTCTTAGCTGTGAACCTCTGTGAAAATAAAAACCAGCTCCATAACCCCAAGGTGCAGTGGTTCCGGGGAGACACCCCCATCCCCAAGGGGCAATAAAGCCATAGAAAAGAACAGGACCAACGGGGATCAAGCCCAGGAGAGCCAGCCGTACTGTCCTGTCCAGCTCCTGGCGCCCAGCAGGTGGTGGTGAGCTGTGTGTGCCAAGGCCCCGGGCAGGCCCACACCTAGGGTCTTGCTGACTGCAGCCTGGATGGTATTTCCCTGAAGTAATTCCGTTTGCTGCCTGCAGCTCCCCTCAGCAGACGGTCCACATCCCAGACCTGTCTGATGTCGTCGGGTCTCCTCTGCACTTACACCCCTTCACTTGCACAGCTTTATATGCTGCCCTCTCCGGGGCACACTGCCTGGCCCCCCTGCAGCCTGGGAGGGTACCTCAGGACCCCACAACTCTTGCACGTCACGGCTGCAAAGTCAGCATGGCCTGGATGAAGCCAGGGTCTGCCACCCGCAGAGCCGTAGGTGGGCCCCTTTAGACTGTGGCCGCAGAGGCCTCTTAGTGCCTTGTGGCTGAGCAGGGTGAAGTGAACCCGGCACCTTTGATAGCCCTTCTCCTTCTTCAGGAGCCCTCCCTGAGCAGAAGGCCTAGAAGCTCTCTTCTCCAGCGAAAAGTTGACGCTTTTGCCCCCCTGCGGTGGAGAGAGTGGGGTCTTGCTGATTTATGTGTCACCCTGGAGGCATCTTTCTTCTGGACCCCGCATAAAACACTTAGTTTCTTTTTAATGGCACTGATCTTCCCAGCACCCGCTCCTTACTTGGCTTGCTTTTCACATGGTTCTTTCAGGGCCCAAATTTAAGTTTTTAAAATGTTTCTGTTCTGCTTTTTGCCCCCGATTCTGCCCAGGTCACTCCTCCCTGGATTTCCTCCCTCTGGCAACCCCACCTCCTCTTTACTTATGTCCCTGTCTCAGGGAAATCCCCCTCTTCCCCCCACACGACCTTTCCTTTTCCCTGTAACACACAGTAATTGCTAGCATGTGCAGTAAAACTTTCTCGGGCTGTTCTTTGACCACTTCCCTTATCAGAGGGAAACAGGGACCCACCTTGCTCAGTATTTCATCTCCCGTTTCCTGGTGCATAGCAGGTGTTCAACAAATGATGGGCATCGGTGATTGTAGCGTCTCAGGATGAACTTACGTGATCATTCGTTCTGGCCATGCCAACCCTCCCCCGGCTCTAACACTGGCCGTGCTGGCCCATCCTTTTGGGTTCAGGGGAGTCGGTCCATGGTGGGCCCCAAGGCAGGGGGCTCATTAAGTAGTCAGGAAGGACACCGTCCCCACGTGGGTGACCGGCTGCCCCTGCCCCCTCCTCCCTTCTGCCTTCTTTCCCGTGGCACAGCCCTCTGAAGCCAGCTTGGGGCTGCTCAGCGCGCGCAGGACCCGATCACCCCTGAGAGCCCCGAGATCCTAGGAGACCAGCAATGCAGTGCATGGCACTGTGGGAACAGTCAGATCACACTCTGGGAGGCTGAGGCAGGAGGATCACGTGTTTGAGCCTAGCCTGGGCAACTTAGCAAGATGCTGCCTTGATAAACAAACCAAAAGCCAAACAAACCCCCTTCATCTTTCCCCCGGCATTGAATAGGCAGATCTGTTACTGAACTGGGGTTCAGGGTAAAAGGGAACCTCTGGGGGGACCATTTGGCTTCGGTCAATCTTGTTTTTGGTGGGAACCCTTTACATGTGAGACACTCTTCCTCGTCTGCCATTTCCCCACTTCTCTGAGTTCCGGTTTTGCTAAATGTAAGATTCTAAGTTCAGCGTCTGTCCCAGCTGCTCCTGTCCCAAGCACATCTAGGATAATCGCCATTCATGCGTTCAGCGGTATGTGACAGGTGTCACTTCTTGGGGTATGCAGAATTCACATAGGAGCTGGTAGGTGACAGCGTCTCCCCTCCATCCTGCACCTAACTCCCATGGTGAGCAGCTGAGCTCCTTGTCTTTCTCTGCTTGCTTCTGCACCCCAAGGTCATGACTAAGCCATGAAGAGCTCAAGCAAGAAACAGCTGCAGAAAGCCAGGCATAGTGGTGCACTCATGGAATCACAGCACTCGGAGGCTGAGGCAGGAGGATCGTTGTGAGCTTGAGACCAGCCTGGCCTACAAAGTGAGCTCAAGGCCAGCCGGAACCACATAGGAAGACCCTGTCTCAAAAAGAAAAAACAAAACACAGCTGCAGAGCTGGTCACATCTGGACCCAAGTGACGATGTGCTTCTGACTCAGCCCAGGGGGACTCAGCAGCTTGTCTAGTGGGACCCACGGGGACCCTTCCTGCATATATGAAAATCATTCACTCACTCATTCATTCGAGTATGTGCTGAATGCTTTGGAGGAAGCTGAGATGTCTTAACTCAAGATAAGGCCGTCCTTATGGGGTTAGAGCTGGGCCCACAGAAAAGAGTGGGACTTTGAAGCTGAGGTTTTGAAGGATGCATAGGAGTTCAGTAAGGAGTATTCAGATGGATGTCATCCCTGGCCATGGTGACTGGCTCAGCCTTAAGATTTGCTCCCCTCCCTGGAGGTTGGGGTGGACTCACAGTCCCCTCCTTCTTGTCCAACCCTGGTCTTCCTTTCCAGTGATGGCCATCTCCTAAGGCCACCTAGCAGCCTCTTCAGCATATAGCAAGCCAACCCGCAGTCTCAGAGCCAGTGTGTATCTCACGCTGTCCCTGGAAGACTGTCCCCACTGAACTGGGAGGAATGGCTCTGGACTAATACCTCTTGCCCAGGGGCTGGTAGGATCAGGGTTCAAGGCCTCCTGAGAAAGTATCTGGGAATGGGGTGTGGTAGTGCACATTTATAATCCCATCTCTCTGGGAGGCTGAGGCAGCAGGATTACTAAGGAGAGTCCAGCCTTGTGAATCTAGCGGGACTCTCTCAGTAGGAAGGGGGTGGGGCTGCAGCTCAGGGCGGAGGCCCTGGGTTCGATCCCCAGTGACACATGCACACACACAGATAAAATGCTGCTGAGGAGCGGGGGTGGGGCAGCAGGTAGAGGCGCAGCCAGTGCAAAGGCACTGTGGCAGCTGAGTGTCGGGGTTGGAGGCAGAGTTGTGTGGGGGCCTGGTTGGAGCAGGAAGGACTGCGTGTGTTTCCTGCTCGGTGTTGGGGGGCCTAGAGAGCACAGGGCGGGACAGGGACCCCCCTTGGGTAGCGCACACCTGTCATCCCGACAACTCAGAAGGCTGAGGCAGGAGGGCTTAGAGTTTAAGCCCAGCCTGAATAATTTAGGAATAATTTACAAAGACCAGGTCTCAAAATAAGGGCTGGGGACGTAGCTCAGGGACAGAGTGAGGGCCTCGCACGCTTGGGCAGCACACTCCAGGCTGACCTCAGCTGTGACTCTCCTGCCCCGGCCTCCTGCTGGGATCACGGTGGGCCCAGGGTGGTGGCAGCCTGTGAGGGGAAGTGCAGTGGGGTCTCCACTGCATGGCCCAGAAGAGAAACCAGCCAAACCCTGCCCAGGCCCATCGCCGTGTGACTTCCCACCCACCCAAGAGGGACCCCCGCGGCCCGGTTCTCCTGTCACACGCAGGTCGGGTGACAGCAGCTGCCCTCCCCACCACAGGGGGCTCAGCGAACAGCTCTGCATCTGCCCGGGCCCTGGCAAGCTGGGGGGCTTGAGACGCCCCGCACCACGGGGTTAGTATGTTAGGGTTTCCTGCTCCCCGCCCCTCCCCTCACCCCTTTCTCTTGTTTCTATTTTAGCCTTTTCCCCGTTTTTTCTTTCCCTCCCCCCAGTTCTCTTTTTCTTTTGAATGTTTTCTTCCTGTTTCACAACATCTACCATGCATTGTGGTCCTTCATCACATGTTTGGTTCCTCGCACCAGGGAGACAGTGCTGTGTTTACATGTGTCCGATTTATGTTGCTTAAGTCTGAAAGTGCGTTCACTAACCTAGAACTGTCTCAAGCTTTTCCTTCTTCATGGCTGAGTTGTATTCCACAGTGTATAAAAACCATATTTTCTTTATCCATTCAGTGGTTGATGGACACTTGGGTTGTTTCCAAGATTGGCTATTACAAATTGTGCTGCTATAAACATGGGTGCACATACATCACTGTGGTATGATGCTTTTAGTTCTTCTGGGAATATGCCTAGAAGTGGAATAGCTGGGGGGAATGGGACCTGTAATCCTAAGGGATTTTTCCACCCTGATTCCCACAGTGGCTGCACCAGTCTGCACTCCCATCTACAGTGGTGAAAAGTTCCTTTCCTCCCACACCTGGGCCCTCCCCCAGGCATTCATGGTCACTTTTGTCACCCTCAGGAAGTGGAGGAGCAGAGACTTGATTCACTGGACCATCTGACTCTGTAATACTCCATGACCTTTGGGTTCTGTTTGACCTCGAGCCCACTGCCCCAAGGTGACTGCACATGACACTCCCACTTTCTAGATGGGCAAACTGAGGCTCTGAGATGAGTTCTGGAACCTTTGCCAAGCTTGGGCCTCAGTTTCCCTATGGCAAAAACAGGGCTGGTCCTTCCAGCTGTGGGGACAAAAGAACTGATGCCCTTGGCACAGTCTTGGTGGCTTTGGGTGACCACTGAGCACCTAACCAGTTGCTGAGGACCTGTAAGACCTCCAGGGCGAGGTGGCCCGTGCCTGCCTTCCCGGCACTCAAGGGAGGCTGAGGCAGGAATGTCACAGATCCTGTCTCAAATAAACAAAACAAGCAAAGCAAATGAACAAAATAGAAGACAGTGAGAGCACAGCTTCCAATCTATAGGCTCCCCTAGCAGCCACCAAGGCCACCAGGGTTGTCCCTTTCCGGCCAGCTGGCTTAGAAGTGGCTTCCAGGAGCACGGGGAGAATGATCTCTCTCGTCCCCCCTGAGTGAGGTGAGGGGGTGAGGATGCGCCCTCTGTGTGCACAAGGTCAGGCAGCTTTGCACGTGGCCTTTTGTGCGTGTGACCTGCTGATTAAGCTCCCACAGTGAGTCGGTTTACACCAACAGCAGCCACTGCTTTCCCCTGACCTTGGTGACCACTTTGTCCAAGCACGGTGTGCCTCATGGGACACCGGCAGGATGACAGAGGAACACCGGCTGTCCCTGAATCAGTGGCTGTGAAGGGACAATTTCTGGGAGAACCCCAGACTCCAGGGGTGTGGAAGAGCCCCAGTGAGTCCTGTGGGGCCCCTGGGGAGTGTGCGCTGGGCCCAGAGAGGGCGCCCTGCAGCTGGAGGCCACACAGCCCGAAAACGGCCCCTCTGATCCAACTGACCCTGGCCCAGCAGGTGCCAATCTGGCTTCCTGCAGTGCCAGGTGGGGCAGTTTTTATAAGGTGTGGCGGCTGCTTTAATAAACCGGAAAATAAATAAGCAGAATAGTCCTATCACTTCGATTACTCAGGTCCATTGTGGCCAGGCCCGGGTTTGCTCAGGCCTGCGCGCATGCGCTCCACAGTCATCTGCCCTGAGTCGCCGGCCGGCCGGACACCAGGCTGTGGGGAGGGGCCCGCGCTATTCACCTGGCATCCAGGTTTCCAGGGCCCCAGGCTCAGTCACCTGTCCAACCCTGGTGATTCAGCCCTGAAACTCCCTGGGCACCGGAGCCAGTGCAGGAGGGGCCCATGAATAAAACCAGCCCCGGAGCAGCTAAGCCTCAGAGGTCACATAGAATGTCACTTCTCTAATGGAGAAACTGAGGCTGGGGGCGGCGGGCTGGGTGCCCCATCCAACCTCGGACCTTTCTCTAGCAGCCTGCCTCCCCCTCGGGGGACTCTCTGCACCTAACCCTTCAGGCTGCTCAGGGGCTGGCCTTGATTCTCCTGCCTCAGCCTCTGTAGTGCTAGGATTACAGGCTTACACCACCACATTCAGCACAGCTTTTACAGAGGGAAACTGAGGCACAGAAGGGTCAACACCTCAAAGGTAGGTTGGGTGTGAATTCAGCCTCTGACTTTTATCAGCCCAATGGGATTTCCTTTCCTTTACTGACTTGGTAATGAGCTCCCCATCATGGGAGGTGAGCAAGCCAGGCCAGCGTCCCACCAGGAGGAGGGGGTGCTTGGGACATCCTACTTGTTTCACGGTGGCCCCCATAAGTCCTTCCCTGCGCTGGCTTGAGCTGGCGGCACGAGGACAAGTGCCCTCTGAAGACCTCTAGCGTGGCCTGCCACCATCGCCTGGGGGAAGAGGCCAGGGACACAGGGTGCCTGAGTGCGCAAGCCATGCCTCCAGCTCGTGACCCTGGGGACAGCCTCCCGGGGGTGGCGGGCGCCAGCGGAGCCACCAGGCTGGCCCCGACCCCGCAGCGCGGCAGCTCCCGTGGGGCCCACAGCTGGCCCCGGCCCAGGTGCGGCTGCCTCGGTCTCCACACCTGAAAAGGTGGCCCCAACACAGCACACCTGCCCAAAGGGAACGTGCCCCGGGGTGGGGCGACGGGGACAGGTGAGGATCCCCTCCGTTCCCTCCACTGCTGCCGAGGCTGGAGCTCACCCCACCCGCGGGCCACCAAACCCCGCGTGGAAGCGCACCCGGCGCTAGGACACGCCTCCCCGCCTTCTGCAGGAGAAACTGAGGTCCGTCCGCAGAGCAGGAGCGACTTGCCCACGCCCAGAGGCCCGGCCGGTCCCTGGGAGAGGCTGCCCCGCACTGAGGCTTCAGGGGCTCAGCCCAACTTCCAGGGCTCCGCGGGTCCCCCACTTCCCGAGCCCCGCACACTCACCCCCGGGCGCGCCGGCCTCCAGCTCCTCCGCTTCGCAGGAGGACGGGTTTTCAGGGATCCCACGACCACGCCCTCCGGCTGCTTCCCGCCCCGCTCCCCGCCCGCCCACACCCAAGCAGACCCCAGCTGCGCGGAGTTTCCGGGTGACAGTCGGGGTGAAGTCCCAGGCGGCCTCGGGATGACCACGCCCCAGCCACGCCCCAGACCACACCCGTCGCGGATTCCCGCCGCGCCTCCCGGCCACGCCCCGGCCACGCCCCGGCCACGCCCACCCACTTGGTCATTCGTTCTGCCACGCCTCCGGCCACGCCCCCGGCCCCACCCACTCCTGGCGCTGGAGATTTGCAAGCTTCGCCCCGACTCCCTGGCGCAGCGCCCAGTCCAACACTGGCACAACCTGCGTGCAGCCTTAGCTGGGAGGCGGGAGGAGCCCAGGCGATCCCCAGATCGCTTCGAGGTTGGAAGGTTCCGGAGCCCCCTGGCACCCACAGGTTGCAGGCTGGAGTCAGCTCCCGGAAGCTGCAGATTTGGGGGTTTGGCCCAGTTCACCCTCACTTTCCTCTCCCAGCCCCGTTGCTTCCCGAGGAGGAAGGGGTCCCCGCTATGCCTCAGTTTACTCACCGTGCAGTGAGGAGGAGAAAGCGCCCCGGGTGGGCCGGGGCGGGACAGGTTGGCAGTGGATGAGCTGGGCCAGCGTGTGACCTGAGCTGGCTTCCTGCAGCGCAGGGACCTAGGTGTCTGCCCTGGCTGCTCAGGCCGCGCTATTTTGCATGGTGAACGCGTGGACTGTGGTCAATCCCTGTTACCTTATGGGGCCCCATAATAGTGTGGGCATCGGATGCCACACCCTGCTCCATCAGATGCGGGTTCTACGGCCTCGCCCCAGAACCTTGCGTGTCACAGCAAGCAGATGCTGGGATCAAACATCAGCATTGCGGCCACAGTGGAGTATTACTCAGCCGTGAAAAGGAGCAGGCACCGACCTAGGCTGCCATGGGGCTGACTCTTGAAGCCTGACACAAGGCTATGTGAGCCCATTAAAAATTTCTTTTTTGTATTTTAAATTAGGGAACAGGGCTGGGGATTTAGCTTAGCGGCATAAGCGCCTGCCTTGCAAGCAGGTAGTCCTGAGTTTGATCCCTGGTACCAATAAAAAAAAAAAATCAGGGAACAGGTGCATGTCTGTATCTTTCCTCATGGTCATTTTTACCTCCCTCTTACTCCTCTTGATAAGAATTGTCCAGACCAGAATAAGAAGAGGCAGGAAGCAGGCTGGTGGCTGCTAAGGTTCGGGGGAAGGGACAGGGAGGGCCGGTGTGCTGGGGTGGGATTACAGGTGGTCTAGAAGCAGCTGTAAAGTGGTGTTTGTACAACTCCACATTTTACTTGTTTTTGTTGCTATTGAGACAGAGTCTCACTATATGCAGCTCTAGGCTGACTTTGAACTCTTAGATCTGCCTGCCTCAGTCTCCTGAGTGCTGGGACTGCAGGTGTGGGCCACCATGCCCAGCCAGTGCTTGGACAGCCCTGGGATTGTCCAGAAGCTCCCTTTAAACGATTAATTTACTGTGGTGTGAATTTCATCTTAAAAAACCAACCAACCAGAGTGGGCCAGGCACTGGGTGATTGGCTGCTCTGTGCCAGAGCTGGAGTTTTGGGGTCCCTGGATGGGCGGGCATCATTCACAGACATCAGGCCTGGGGTGGAGGGGTAGGTTCAGTGGGTTCAGTGTGCCCCAGCTTTTGAGACAGTGTGTTCTCTGCGGGGGTGGGGAGGTCACCAGGAGCAAACAGCGGGCTGTGCCCAGAAGGCCCCAGCCCAGGGAGATAAAGCAGGCACTGGGGCAACCCATGGGCAGGGCCCCTAGCAGAAGGGCACCCCAGGGTGCCACAGCAACTCTGCCACCTTGCCTGCTTGGCCACTTGCACTCCTGTGTGCCAAGGCCTGCAGGGAGGGGACCTTGTGCTTACACCCTTCCTGGGGCCTGCAAATCAGGAAACCGGGGCTCCTAGGTGGCCAAGGAACCTGGGCTTCACCCCAAGAACTGAGGCCCTTTAGGGGAAGCTGGGCCTCCAAGGGCAGCTAAGTCACAACCCAAGTCTCTGCTGGTCACATCAGGAAAGCTGGAGTGACCCCACTGAACCTGGGATGTGCAATTGCCATTTGTGCACAGGCCTTTGTGTTGATTAGGAGCTTGCTGGGAGCCAGACATTCCCCAGCCTCTTCCCTATACAGAGTTCCCTCACAGTGCAGATGAAGAAACTGAGGAGGGAAGGAGGACTAGAGGAGCCCAGAGGGAGATGCCAGGTCTCTTTCAGAGTCAGGGAGAGGAGATGGCATTGTAAATGGGATTTTGAGGTATGTGTAGGAGTTTGCACAGTGAGGCAAAGTATCCTCTTCCTTCTGAGGTAGGACAGGAGATGTGACACAAGTAGGTAGAACGGAGACAAGGAAAACTGTAATTCTGAGTGGTATTTTTAAGACTACAATTTTAGAATGCAAAGTTACTCAAGGTTACCCACAGCCGTATTTCCTAGATGCATTTGTACTTGACTTCATCCATTCTGACCCAGCTCCAAATCCCCCGAAGAGACCAGAAATCCATTAATTAGTTCTTTCTGAATCAAACTCAGGACCTTGCACTTGCCAGGCAGGTGCTGTGCCACTGAAGTATGTCGCCAGCCCAGACATCTATAAATTAGGAAGCTTCCGCCAAACATAAAGACAGAGTCAGACGTCACACAGTATTTTTGTGCAAAACATCTTAGATCATCTGTCTTTAAAACAAAAAACAAACGATGTGCTTTGCCCTGCACCTGGGCCCCAGACCTGTGATGTGGCCAGTTCTTCTACCTGCGCCTGCCTGCCTTGGCCTCCGCTTTTCTCCTGCAAACCCAGCCCCACGCTACCCACGAATTCCTGCCGCCTCCTCTGATGCCCTGGAAGCCGCCAGTCCAGAGACCTTCTGCTCCTCGCTGGGGGCCCTAAAAAGTCTTTTCCTCAGCTTCCCCGGGGGGCAGTGAGCTCTAAGCCCCATTCCCACTTCAGGGGCCTCCTGGGACCCCTGCAAGGTGACACTGTCATCCCCATTCTTGGGGACCAGGGTGAGGGGTCAAGGTGTAACCAGTGCCACAAAAGGGAACTTTATTTATTTTTTGAGACAGGGTGGCTTGGAACTCACGGGGATCCTCTTGCCTCAGCCTCCTGATTGCTGGGGCGACAGGTGTGTGCTCTCATGCCCAGTTTAAAAATAGAACTTTCGGGGCTGGGGATTTAGCTCAGTGGCAAAAGTGCCTGTCTGGCAAGCGACAGTTGTGAGTTTGATCCCCAGTAAAAACAAAACAAAGCAAAACAAAAAAAGAACTTTAAAAAAGTTAGGCATTTGTTGCATTTGTTTTCTTTAGAGCTAAGTGAGGTCTCCAAGCTACTCCCTGCTGAGCACACAGCAACACCTGGCCCCCCCTGGGCTCCAAGAAGGGGCAGGACAAACAGACGCTGGGGGCTAGCCCGGTTCCTTTGCCACAGGGCCAGCCGGGAAGCCACACAGGCTCCCTCCAGTCTTTACATTAAAGGACCCCAAGCCCCGAGCCCCGGGGCTGAGGTGCTGGCCCCTCCACCCCGCAGCCGGTGTTGAATAACCGAATAAACGCCTCCTTGATCTGCTCGGCAAATGACTCTGCGTGGATGGGACCAGGAGGCTGAACCATGCGGGTCCCCAGCCAGGTCCCACTTCCTGCCCTGGGAGGCCTAGGCTCCGTCCCCATCTGCAAGCCCCGGGTTCCCCCCACCCCGAGTCCAGACCCCAGCCTGCTTGCTGCATCTGTGTGGCCGCCAGATCGCTTCCGGTCCCCTGAGATGCTAGGTCAGCAGACTGTGGAAGAGGAGACCGATGCTCAAGCCACAGTCACACCTCACCTCAGGACGCCACGCAAGAAAGACAGGGAGGGGAGGGAATTTAAAGAACTGCTTTAAGGACACAAAGTTACCCAAGTCCAGTTTAAAGTGTTTTCTCTTCCCCGACCCAGAAAGCCAGGGCCATCCCCACTGGCCTGCAGACTGCCCTTTCCCTGTGCACAGACCATCTGTTGTCACCAGTGAACAGGACACACCCTCAGCAGCAGCTCTTGGGGTCACCTTCCGACCTGGATGTAGGTAAGTGATTTATTGGAACACAGCCATGTTCACGGCCACGTCAGGCACCCCGGGGCCCATATTCCCTGGATCTCTCAGCCATTTATTTCCCTTCTGCGAGGGTGGTGGTGATGTTTGAGGCCTCACAGTGTAGCTCAGGCTGGCCTAGACCTCGCCGTGATCCTCCTGCCTCAGCCTCCTGAGTGCTGGGTTGACAGGTGTGTGGCCACCAGACGGCTATATCTAAGCCCCGCTGTAGGAAGCCTTCCAGGCTTGGTCCTCTCACCACCCTCCCCCCAGCCCCTTGGTAGGGTCCCACACAGGGCGAGTTGGGAGACCCCACGCACACCCGGCAGAGCTGCAGGGTGTGGTTTCCTGGGCCCAACCGCTCTGCATCCTCTGCATCGTGGAGGAAGGGTACACACTGAGCCAGGACGAGGGTTCCTTTTTTATTTTGTTAGAAAATAAAATGTTTATTTAAAGAGCAGTAAAAGGCCGGGACCTACGTGGGGTCAGGAAGAGGAGCAGGAAGAAGAGGAGGAGAAGGAGGAGGAGGAGGAGGAAGAGGAGGAGGGTGAGGAGCGATCTCGGCTCAGCCTGTGTGGCGTGGGGCTGACGGCTCCTCTCCACGGATCCAGGCCTTGGGGACAGTGGGGTCCCGGCGCCCGGTCCGTGAGCACCAGGATTCAGCGCGGAGCTGGGGTGATGCTCAGCAGCTCACGAGGTACATCCCTGGGGGTGTAGCGAGCTACTGAGGGGCGCCCAGTCTTCCCTCCCCTTTGTTCCTTGGTGCCCCGGGACTCAGGGCTGTCATGGCCCTGTCCTGGGGTTTGGGGTGCTAATCCTGCTCCAGCTTCCAGACCCACCCCTCGGTCTCAACTCTGTGTGTGTGTGTGGGGGCTCTGATGGACCTGTGCCCCATCTGGATGTCCTGCCTCCCCGCTGCCCTGGTAGCTGCAGGCTTGGGCTCCCGTGGTTCTGGGGCACCCGGCCGGGCGAGGTACCT